AAGGCAGATCTTTGAGTTTTTCATCACCTTACATTGTAAGGGCTGGTAATGTAGCTCAGGGGTAGAGCTTCACTAAGCATGTTTAAGGCCCTGGGCTCAATCCTAGTACCATACAAAGACCCCACAGAATTTGTTTATATATTTGGGGAATGGGATATTTACTCCAAATTATTCATGGAAATAATTATAATTCTATATATAATATCAATTTTAAAGAAAAAAGTATTTTATTTAGCTAAAGAATTTTAAATTAGATTATTATACATTTTCACACAGTTGTAACCAAAAGAAATTACTGTATACTTTTCCAGCTTCTCCCAAATGATGATTTAGTATCATAATATCAATATTAGTATCATAATATGATTTAGTATCATAATACCAATATTAATACAATCTATCTTCTTTGGATTTTCCTGATTGATTTGTACTGTATATATATATATATATATATATATATATATATATGTGTGTGTGTTTATGAGTGAAATTTTATGGAATTTCATCTTAGGTTTGGGCATCCACTTCCCCAGTCATAAGTTGACCACTTCCAAGAATGAAAAGATCCCTCTTATGTTCAGGTCAGTATCAATCCCCCAACCCTACCCTGTCTTCATGGACACAGTTGGTCCACAGAGCCTTAGGAACACATGACTGATAATAATTACTTTGCCTCCTGACTCCACTGGAGTCCATAGGAATCCCTGGGGGATTTCACTATTTAGCTTAGTGCATTGATCAAAACAGAAATCTCTGGGCCTTCTTGCCCTTCTCAAATTTGGCCTCCGAGAGTTTAATTTGGAGGGTTCCCTTTGGAAAGCAACAGCTACAGAAAAAATTAAATTTCCTATTTGGATTTCCAGGAATGCAGAGAGGGCAAGACAGGTTCAGAACTGTTCATGGTACATGGCTGGGGAGTCTGCTACACTTTTCCCAGCCCACAGACAGAATGGGAGGCAAAGAGGATGAAAGGAGAGAAGATATAAGTATCATAAACCTAAAGACAGCAGCGGGACTGATACTGCACTTGAGGCATGGAAGTTTTATACTTACAATAACAAAAATGTCACTGATAATTTCTCTTTGAATTTTTATTTTTTCAGTAATTATAAGGTCAAATATGTCCACTGAGGAAAGTCTTTTCCTTGTGCCCTGCAAGGATGAGATTAAAGTAAAGAAACTATAAATGTGTACTCTCCATCCTGACCGTAGGGTCGCTAGAAGAGTCCAGTGCATTTCTGACCAACCTCATCCTGAACAAGAGTGTAGTAAGACTAAAAGTTTGCAAGACTGGAAACTAGGAAAAAATAACTGTGCTATGTACTCAGAAATCATAGATTTCACTACTGGATTCGGTTATACAGCATTTGCATCTAGACTGTTTTTCAAGGTCTAGAATTTTCCGTTTCTATTTTCTGTGTCTAAAATGATATTTTTTTGTGACCACAAAAAATTTTCCCATTCTTGTCTAATATTCTCAAGTTGGGCAATAGACTTTGGATCTTCCTCATTTGTTGTATCTTTCAGTTAAGACTTTTGACTGTGAAAGTTTCTCAGATTTTCCTTACTTTTTATTAACAACCTTTTGGGAAGTCTTATTAAATATTTCATAACATGTCAACTTTTCCTTATTTATTTTTTTCTCCTGGCCTCATATTTTTCCTAAGGTGGAACAGGGTTTATGGGTTATTGAAAGGAAGGACACCAAGGTAAAAACCATTCTCATGACCAGGTGTTACCATCATCTGATATTGTTGATATCAACCCTTTGGCAGGCTGAGGTACTGTTTGTCAGTTTTCCACTTTAAACTTTCTCTTTCCCATCATGCTACTTTCTCTACCATGTGTTTAGAAGTCAGTCACTATATATAGCTCAACATAAGATAGGAGGAGTTATGCTCCAGCTTTTTAAGGAATCAATGTCTACATAATTTAATTAGGATTCTTCTACCTGGGAAACTAATCTATTATCCTCGTAATCTTCTTAATATCTCTTTTCTCCAGAATAATGTAGAAAATCTTCATGCATATCCATGTGCCACATAATTCACTAAGGAGATGACCTCTTATTTTGATAAGAAGGTAGACAGGCAACGTATGTCTGTGTTTTCCCCCAGTACTATAAATCATCAAAGTAACAGACTGAGGCCTTTCAATATGGCTCACTTTGGCAGCACATATACCAGTATGGATTAACATACATCTGCAAGGAGCACACTTACAGGAATGGAGCAGCAAAATGTCCCTTTAAAATGACACCCAGTCCCACCAACCCACTTTCTTGCTGCTAGGAATCCCAGGATTGGAAAACATCAACATCTGGATTGGATTTCCCTTTTGTGCTGTGTATGTGTGTATCTGTGTATGCTGTGTACTGTCTTGTCTATAGTCTAGCCCATGTTCTACTTCCTGGCTAGGCTGGCTGTCACACTCACCTGAGATTACAGACAGCCACCATCCCTAAAATGCCAGCCCTATTTTGGTTTACCCTCACAGAGATAATTTTTGGTGCGAGCTTCACTCAGATGTTTTCAATCATATCTTTGATGGCATCAAGTCAGTAGTCCTTGCAGTGGTTTTTGATGGCTATGTAGCTATTTGCAACATTCTCCATTACAGTACAATCTTTACTAACAAGGTGATAGCTCTATTTGGTTCTGGGGTGGTTGGGAAATCTTTCCTGGCTGTATCCATTTGTATTTCTAATCTTAAGATGACCCTTGAAATTGTGGACATCATGTCATCCCACACATCTGTTATGAGCACATGGGTCTTGCTCATCTTGCCTGTGCAAGTATCAGGGTAAATACCATATATGGTCTGGGTACCATGGCTATACTGGGTTTCAACAACATGACCATTGCTCTATGCTGCATCCAAATTCTCCGTGCTGTTTTCCATCTCACTTCACATGAATAGAGGCTCAAAACTCTCAGTACCAGTAGTTCACATGTGTGTATAATTTGACCTTTCACACCCAGGCCTCTTTTCTTTTATGACCCATTGTTTTGGTTTAAATATTCTCACTACATTCACACTCTTCTTGCCAATTTGAATGTAGTTATTACACCAGTGCTCAACCCTGTCATCTACAGAATCAGGACCAAGCAGATTCATAAAAGATTTTCCAGAACATTCATCCAGAAAGAAGAGTAATGCACAGAACTTCACTTTTTATGTATTACAATTAATGTAAAATTACTTAAGCCAAATGACTTAATATGCTTTATTTGTTATCTAGGATGAAATAATGAAAACTTTGTTTGAATTCCTCTTTAGGATGCTTTCATTCACTCAGAAAATGAAACCAATACTGATATATCTGATTATGAAATATGTTTCACATTATCAGGACAATAGTTGGATAGTAGATAGGACATTCTGTAACTCTGATTCTTGGCATACTAAATCATTCGATCTGTCTCTAGTTTTGCTTCCCACACTTGCAGAATATTTTTTTACCCACTTGTTACACAAAGCATTAGTTTTCCTTTGTTAGCCTATAAATAAGTCTGTTTTAGCCGATAATGTTCATTTATGTAGAATATGTACTTTTTCTGCTACATCAACTAAAAAATTCAGGAATGCTGATGCTTCCAGTCCTTGATATGAAAGCAAAAACAGTTGTGAAGAAATAAAATAACCTTGGATGCTGAAATAATGTCTAGATTTTTAATACACAATGTCTAACACTATTTATAAGACAACTGCCAAAAAAGAATACAAATATATTAACAAAAATAAGAATAAACCAAGAAAAGAATACATAGACAATATGATTATATCTTTAGGTCAGACAGATAATAGAGCAAACAAAAACAGATATTTACATCCTACATAAGTATGTACAATAAGAATGAAATTATTTGCAGATATCTGACCGTTATGGAAAAAAAGTAAAAGGAATATTAGAACCTATGAGTAAAATGAAAGGTTCTAACATAAAAAAAGAAGGACTGATCTGGGCATGGTGATGCATGCCTGTAATCCCAGCACTCAGGAGGCTGAGGTAGGAGATTCTCTGTGAATTCAAGGGCAGCTTGGGCTACATAGTGAGTTCAAGCCCAGCCTGAACTACATAGCAAGACCCTGTCTCAAAAACAAAAAACAAAAACAAGGAAGCATTCATAGGTAAATAGATGCACCTTGAGACCATAATGCTATGTATAGAAATCTGGAAACTTTAATATAAGTTTACTACTAAATTTATGCATATAACACAATTATTGTGTTTTTTTTTTCTATTCAAGTCTATTGTCTATTATGTACTATCTTTTAATTAACCTGAGTGTAGGTATTTCAGAACAGTATTTTTCTCTTTGAAATATAGAAAATATCTCTTATTTTCACATGCCCATTTATTTTTCTCTTTGAAATAAGAAAATATCTCTTATTTTCACATGGCCCATTTATTTTGATTTTATAGATGTATTTACAATAACTTTAACCATTACCTTCCAAGAGTCTATGCAACTTGAAAACTTGTATAATAAATTGTGTTATACTTAAATTTGTCAAAAACAATCTTACAAGAATTTTAGTTTATTTACCAATTTTCTAGTTTGTACAATATTATTGGTAAAATTTACTACTCCTAATATATATATTTAAATGGTTCCTATATGTTCATTGTACAGTCAATATTCATTTATAGACTCAGCTCATTGCTACTCTGGGTTCAATTGTTAAGTAACAAAAAAGATCTCAAATATTTTCTATTTTTTTGTTTTTCATTCTTCCTTTCCTCATTGAAATATCAACCATATATTGCAAAGAACAGAGAAAATTTAACCTACTAAAATAAAATCGTAAGGGGACTGAAGGGACAGAATGAGAATCCGGAAACGTTCTGAGAAATGATGTGAAAAGCAGTCAGAGAGTCAATGTTCTTTAATACCCTGAGGGCCACTAGATTCACATATTGGAGTGTAATTTTCATAACACATTCCTCTGACTGACCTTTAATAAAATTGCTTATGAAGACCTATACATGTTAGGTGCTATACTTTTTCCATGGTTTGTCTCTGCAACAATACTCTCTTCACGCGATCATAGATCTGTTTGGTTCTGACTCCGTAGATAATAGGGTTGAGCATTGGAGGCACTACAACGTAAAGATTGGCCAGGAGTATATGGATGTAGCGGGGCACGTTTCTGCCAAAGCGATGCGTCATGAAGGAAAAGAGAGCCGGCGTGTAGAAGGCGAGGATGACACACACATGAGAGCCACATGTGCTGAGGGACTTGAGTCGGGCGTCCCGAGAAGGGAGTCGGAAAACAACTCGGAGTATCTGCATGTATGAGAGGGCAATGACTATGATGTCAAACACAAGGTTACACATGGCACATAAGCCATAGATGATATTGATCTTGATACTGGCACAGGACAGACGAGCAAGACCCATGTGCTCACAGTAGGTGTGGGGAATGACATGATGCCCACAGAAGGGCAGTCGCAAAATTAGAAATACAAATGGAGTGATAACAATCATTCCCCTCACTAACATACCAAGACCAATGACAGCAACAACCTTGTTGGTGAGAATGATGCTGTAGCGCAGCGGGTTGCAGATGGCCACGTAGCGGTCATAAGCCATCGCCAAGAGAACAGTGGATTCCATAAGTGTGAATTTGTGGATGAAGAACATCTGAGTGAGACAGTCTTTAAAGACGATCTCTCTGAGATTAATCCAGAAGATCCCAAGCATCTTTGGGATGGTAGCAGTAGAGAGTCCCAAGTCAATGGTGGCCAACATGGCCAGGAAGTAGAACATGGGCTGATGCAGGCTGCTCTCAGCCTTGATCACCAACAAGATAGTGAAGTTCCCTAGGAGCGCAGTCATGTACACAGCACAAAAGGGAAAGCCAATCCAGAGGTGAAGAGATTCTAGACCTGGGATCCCCAGCAACACAAAGGAGGAAGGGTGAAGTGGAGTAGCATTGAGAGAGAGCATCCTGATTCCCAACGCACCAGTTCAGTCTTCAGAAATATGTGCTTATCCAGTCTGCAGGTCCCTGGACAGTTTTCCGTAGCTAAACCTAAATATTAAGGAGCATTGTAAATTTGTGTACATGCTCTTCTGCAAGTAATTCCATCAGTGTGAGATGCGCTGTGTACAGAGTGACAAGCAAAATCTCAAGGATAAGTCCCTGAAGGATGCTATGGACTAAATTAAAATAAAAATCTGCATGACACTTTCAGCTTTGCTAATATCCTTTTCTTTGAAAACTTATCAATAGTTGACTAACATGAAATTATTTTTCTATAATAGTCACCTCATTAGCTACCTTCTTTGATGACCAATATCATCACCTACACAATCTCATTGAATTTGATCAGTGCAGTTTTTTGCTAGCTTACGATTATTATAATGTTGGGTATCAATTCTTGTTGTTTGAAGGACAATATGTAAAGCAACACACAGGATGTTTAATATCTACTCAATAAGTACATATAAGATTTATTTCGGAACACTAATAGTCATCATGAAGTGTTAAAACTGTATTAAATGTAAGTACATACAATTACAAATTGTGATTGAATAATAGTGAAGTATTTACAAGACATAGACCTTGCCAAACTCCTCTCTAATCCTCAAAAAATTGAAGAAGTTTAATTTTCAATATTTCATATAAGTATTCTGAGAAGCAAGAAGAGGTTTGATAGAAGTATAATATCCTTTGAATAGAAGATCTGAGAAATCAAGTTAGGGCAAAAAGTAATTAATGAAAATGACAGGCAAATGGAAATGAATGCAAAGATAATATAGGCCTTACCTATGTTTCTTACATGGAATAACACACACACATAGTTCTCCAAGCCTGGTATACAAATATATAGTCTTTTCAAAAATTCAAAACATTCGGCTAGATAAAATGTATTGGCATCTCTAGTTCATTGCTAAGGCAATTATGACTTCAGGAATTTAAGACACATGACAAAACGTTGAAGTGAAAAGCAGAGAGAAAAGAAAAGGAGGAGCACTGGAAAATTACATGCATGATCATGCCCTCATTCTTTTTCAAAATACCTGTTATCAGTCTTAATATGCTATGATTGTAAAATAAAATAAAATTACAATCTTTAAAAAGGGGGTGGTCCCACCCACCTGTTTCTATTTTGTGTGTCTTTGTCCCTAAGCACAACACTGGTTCACCTAACTTACCACCTGCTGGCTCCTATTTTGGACTTTTCCCTCCCACTAGTCTTGCCTGTCCATCGTGTGCATCCTACTCCATGTTCTACTGTGTGGCTGTCACCCCCAGTGGCCTGGTTCTGAGTTGTAGGGTGATGGGACAGCCATCTGGGTTTATAAAATTTTAGAGTCACGGAGTGACATGTATAACCATGGAATTACATGATTGTATAGGCTTTAGAAAAATGAATGCTATACTATTGTATTTTGTAATTTCATCCTACCTCTTAAGTTTTCTTTACAGCCTTCTTCCAATGCATTTTTTCCTCTAGTCATTCATTAAATATTAGTGATTTTTACACAAGGGCCTCAACATTGATTTTTCAGCCTTCCCATAACTTTCTTCTTTCCTTCCTCCTCCCTTCTCCCTCCCTCCCTCCCTCCTCTCCTCTCTTCCTTCCTTCCTTCCTTCCTTCCTTCTTTTCTTCCTCCCTTCTCTCCTTCTTTCCCTTCCCCCTTCCTTCTTAACTTCTTTCTCTTCCCCCTTCCTTCTTAACTTCTTTCCTGTCTCTGTCTCTGTCTCTGTCCATTAAACACAAAGGCATGTACACTAAAAATGTGAAAAAATGGAATAAGGTGGTATTTTTGTCATGTAGTTTTTGTAGCCAAGTCAAAGTATTGGTACCTAAGTGCTCTATAGGTTTATCTGCATTTTATATAAGTACTATATACCAATCAATCAAAATTCCATATATCTATTTCATTTTCATTGTTCATTAGTGATTATTTACATCTTGAGGTTGATTCTGTTGGTATTCTTAAACTTCATAAAATTAAAGTCGGATATTTACCTGTAAATTTCAATGTATAAAATTGAATTATATAAAACATATATAATATAAAGAATTATATTAATGTATTATTATTTGTTTCAACTTCTATATTTCATGAATAGATTTATATAAACTTTGTACAAAAGTAATGTCTTCATAATTTATACTTTCAGGGTCTCTGAAAATTATTGTCTCATGTTACAGGAACTTATTTGTACCACATGAAAACAGTTTGTATCATTTATTTTATAGGTTCCTATTTATACTCTCTGTAACAAAATTACTCCATTGCTTCTTAATTTAAGAGATTTATCTATAAAACACCATGTTTGTAATTCCATTCTATCTTATCCAATGTAATCAGTATAAACAATCTCATTCATCAATATCGTTATAATGGAAACTCCTACATAAGGGTTTGTAGCCCTCCTTGTGGTAACTAAATTTCAGATTCACAGAACCAAATTCCTCTTGGCTAATTATTTACACTTTTCAGTACAAATTACATCTTTAAAATGGATTTATCAAACCTACTTCCCCCACATGACCGTTTCAATCTTAGTCTTGCTGTTGTCTATCTTTGAATGTCATTATCAGTCAGTGATTTGATCAATTAAAAACATGAGGATCACCTTTTTTCGTTCTCAATCTATTTGAACCAAAAATATAATTGATTCTTCTAAAAAATGTAAAGCCAATATGCTGGCCTACTTACCAACTGCGATGATTCAAGCCACCATTATTTTTTTTTTCCAGTATCAGGAATCAAACTCAGGACTTTGCATTTGCCAGGTAGGCACTTATGCCACTGAGCTATATCCCCAGGGCTCAAACCATCACTATGTCTTTTCTTTCTAAACTTATAAATTATTCATTGCTCACATTTTCTATGTTATATTTTGGATCACGTTGATGGTGCTTAACTGAAAGTACACAGAGTGAAACTGTAGTATTTCGAGTACTCTCTACCTACGGGATGATAAACTACTCCTAGAGTGATCCCATTTTTACTAGTGCAGGTTTGCAGTACGAGATAATCAAGCCATCATTATTTCTTGAGACAATCACAGTGAGGTGCTTTCTAACACTGAAAGCATGGGCTCTATTTCAGATGGATTCTGTTGAAACCTACCTTTAAGACTCATGCACTCTGGATTTGGAGGAAGGAAACAACAAATGTTCTTTATTTGCTCTGTAACCCTGCACAAATATTTTAACATTTTTATAACTCAATTTCTTAATCTAGAAAACACAAAATAATAAAGGCAAATGACTCTTAAACCTGTTGTTACCTGTATAAGAGAAAATACTTTCAAAACTCTTTGAACCATTTTGCAAAGTGTCATGTTATCCATCCTTCACTAGTTATTGAGTAGAATAATTTTTCTAAATTTACACCAATTAGATTCATACTAACATCCAAACACTGATACTAATACTATGCAGTCTATATTAACCATGAGTCTATCTACTAAACTTTCAGTCTTGGTCTTTTTTCTTCAAAATACATTAATGTCTCCTACCATCTCTTCTTTCCCTTTTTCCTTCTGTGCACCTGTGCACTGAGAGAAGGGAGGTCCCACCAGGCTGAGCACCAGCATGAAAGTCTAACCTCTGCTTTGCCTCAGTTTATTCAGTCTTTCTGAGGACCTTGCTTTCTGTGTGGTAGAGATATCCAATAGAACATCCCATTGGGCCCTTTATTTTGAGAAGATAAAGTCTCTGTGGATTCTAGTTCTTAATCTGGGAATGAGTCAAAAGAGACCATTTCTTGAAAGAAAATGAAGCAGAGGAAAGTGAGCTTTCATAATCACCAGTCAAGTCTGTGAGCTTTCTGTTACCTTGCTCTATAGGAGCATAAAATCATCGATGCAGCTTGAGTCATCATTATCCTGGACCATCATATTGGGCAATTTCTTCTTTTTTATTTTAAAGATAAAGAAACTAACAAAACAACAATAAGACAAAATAAAAAAGCACAAAAACAATACATGACCTCAAAGCAAAATGATAAGAGTTAACAGTGGTTGCTACATTATATACTGTTATCTTCAGTGAAGTTACTCAGTCCACCAGATGTAAGGTTGTAAGATTTATCAATCAAAGACAGTAACAAGTAAAAAATAACATTGGAAATAACACAGAGCTTAATTTTATAAACACATGGAAATTAAATAACATCCTCCTGAACAACCAATGGGTCACAGAAGCAATTAAAGTAGAAATTAAATACCATTTACAATCAAACAAAAATGCAGGTACAGACTACCAGAACCTGTGGTATGCAACAAAAGCAGTCCTCAGAGTGAAATTTATAGCAATGGATTCCCACATCAGGAAAGCAGAGTGAACACAAATAAACAACCTTATGCTGTACCTCAAACTTCTAGAAAAGGAAGAGCAAGTTAATCCCAAAGCCTGAAGAAGGGCAAAAATTATAAAGATCAGACTAGAAACTAAGGCAAATGAAGCTAAGAAAACAACACAAAGAACTAATAAATCAAAGAGTTGGCTCTTTGAAAAAATAAATAAAATTGATAAGCCCATAGCCAAGTTTATCAAAAAAGGAAAGAAAAAACTCAAATCCACGCAATAAAGAATGAAATGGGAAAAATCAATACAGATCCTGTAGAAATTCAAAAGATCATCAATACCTACTTCAAAACTCTTTATTCTCATAGGGTGGAACACATAAAAGAATTGGACAGATTGCTACATACATATGAATTACCAAAGCTGAATCAAGAAGATATAAAAATCTTGAATAACTCAGTATCAGCCAATGAAATTGAAAATGTAATTTTAAAACTTACCAACAAAAACAAACCCAGGTTCTGATGGATTCACAGCTGAATTCTACAAGAAATTTAGAGAAGATTTAACACTAATTCTTCTCAAACTCTTTAAAGAAGTAGAAAGGGAAGCAGTTCTCCCAAACTCATTCCTGGAGGCAAGTATTACCCTGATACCAAAACCAGAAAAAGA